GAAAGCAGGGGGAAGGGGCTGGGGGGGCAGGAGTGGGGATTCCAGAGAGTGTGTGAGTCAGATGAGGGGACAGGTGGGGGTATGAGTGTGTCTGGGGGGGGCGAGTGGGGGGTATGAGTGTGCCTGGGGTGGGTGGGGGTATGAGTGTGCCTGGGGTGGGTGGGGGTATGAGTGTGTCTGGGGGATGGGTGGATAGTGGGTATGGGTGTGTGTGAGGGGTGGGCGGGCGGGGGCATGTGCCAGCGTGCGCCCTGTGTCTGAGGGAGGGTGGGAAGCTGGCCGCAAGGGGCTGCGGTCTCTCGACTCACTGGCCGTGTGTCTGCGGGCCTCTGGCCCTGAGCAACGTGTGCTACCTGTGCCCGCAGAACATCGCAGGGCCTGGGACCCAGAACCATCCATCCTGGGGTAACCCAGAAAGGGTGTCCCTCCCCCACCACTGTTGCCAGGGAGGCAGAAGGGGCCTCCCTCCCGAGGGAATCTCAGCTTCCGGAGCCCCATTCCTTATATGGTGTTTACTTCTCTCTGCCTCTCCTGACTGCTAGGCTGCCGGCACCCCTTCGGCACCCTTCTCCTCCACCCCCGCCTCCTCCTTCCTTCCCTCCCCTCCTCCTCCTCCTTCCTCCCCCCTCCCCCTCCCCCTCCTCCTTCCTTCTCTTCCTTCCTTCCCCCTCCTCCCTCTCCCTCCTCCTTCTCCCTTCCCCCTCCCCCTCTTCCTTCTCCCTTCCCTCCTCCCCTCCTCCCTTCCCTCCTCCTTCTCCCCTCTTCCCTCCTTTCCTTCCCCTGCTTCCTTCCCTCTCCCCCCCTCCTTCTGCTCCCTTCCCTCCTCCCCCTAACCCCTTCCGTCCTCTCAGAAGTCTTGGAGCTTCTGACCAGGTTCCCTCTGTGTCTTGGGGGCTTCAGGGAGCAGTACCCCTTCATCTCCTCCACTGCCCTCACAACCCCCCTCCCCCCTCCCGCCTCCCCGCAGGGATTGGCGTCCAGACTTCCCCCGGAGGCACCACAGGGACAAGTCTTGGGCCTCCCCAAAGGCGTGGGAGTGGGGGCAGCGGTTGGTCCAGTCCAGCCATTGCCACGCTGGTGTCACACATCCACACCACTGTCGGGGGCCCGGGCCGCGCCCAGGCCTGGGTGCACGACCCTCCCACGTGGAATGCAGGACCAGCCCAGGCCCAGGCCCCCCCCCCCCCCCCCCCCTGCCCCGGACTCGACAGCACCCCAGGGAACGGATAGGCAGGAGCTGGAGGCCACACCAGGGAACTCACCCCTGGCGCCTGGGAGCGCGTCCAGGAAAGCTAGGAGCCTTGGGCTCCAGGAAAGGAGGGGGTCTGGGTGTCTGTCGGGGTCGCTGCCGGGACTCCTCCGCGGCTCAACACCCCGCGACCCCGCGCAGGGCCGAGGCAGGGGTGGGGGCGCTGAGGCCCCGGGAGAGCGGAGTCAAGCACCACCCCGCCCCCCTAGGAAGGACCGACACCAGAGAGGGGGCAGCGGATCCTGAATCCCTGGGGGAGGGGCTTCCTCCTAACCTTTGGGCGCGTGGGGGCAGCAACCGACCCGCCCCGAGCCCCCTGGGGGCACACACCTGCGCTTCCCCGCCGGTCGCGGGCAGGGGCGTGTCGCCGGGTCCGGCCACCTTCCCTCGCCCCGCGGGCTGAATGAGCCGGGGAGGGGGCGCAGGGAGCCAGCCGGCGGATTAGTCACCCCGGCCGATGGCGCGTGCAGGGGGTGGGTGCTCCCTCGGCGCCGGGAGCGCGGGCGGGCGTGGGGGGCGGGGCGCGCGGGGCGGGGCGGCTCGCCGGGGCC